GACATCTTAGGTAACAAAGAAGTGTGTGTTTACGCTTAATATAATAGTATAGATAGCTTAGATAAGATAGAGATAGCTTAGATAAGTACTGAGTATAGAGAATATTACCGATTAGCGTATAAAAAACTACAAAAAGCCTTTTATACATGAACACAGAAATTGACTTGGAAAAAGCGTCATTTTTGACATATCAAAATTAAATTGCTAGTTGTCCACGACCTTGTTCTCGTTGTATAAAAGATCTCAGGTTTTCGTTGCTGGGTCATTTTAATAAAACGATCCCACAGAAACTGTGTGTTAACAAAATGAAACCTGTTCTTACTATTATTTACTACTATTTTTTTTATAATATAAGGTGGCAATCAAGCAAGCGGCCACCTGAATCCACTGAATGGAAAGGGACTAAAATTAGGCCTCCGGCACCACACTCATCAGACGAAACGCGGAATTGCTTCCACTTCACGTCTGTTTTCTGTGTGGTCGTGGTATTGGTCAGGGCGAGCCGACCCATTCGTGCGAAGATGTTAAGGCGGGCTCTACCATTGTTAAACTCTGTTAGGCTCTACTACTAGCTTTCGACCGCGACTTCATCCGCGTCGAATAATAACAAAAACAAAAGTAACTAAGTAGGTTGCGTTGTTCTAGATTATACTCTACATCTATGCCTTTCATGAGATCCGTTCAATAGTTTAGGCTACAAACTCTATCAAATATACATCAATTCATCTAAACTTTCACATTTATAATATTAGTAGGACTAATAGGCTAAGAAGATTATTTTGAAATATATTTATTTAATTTTAAATAAGTCCAAAATAATTTAAAACAAATAAAAAAGGTTACATTTCTAAACGAAAATCTCGAAATAACTGGCCGGTGTTAAATGTCATTGAAGAAAAAAAAAGATATTTTTAACAATCTGTCATTCGTCAGTCAATGTTCGCGCCAAAAATAATAACACTGAACGTAAACATGTGACCTAGATAATATACAAGGTATATTTGTAGCTGACTCCGTATATAAAAAAAAAACTTTATTTTATCTGTATTAATATTATAAAGAGGTAAGATTTGTATTTTTGTATGTATTGAAATAACTCAAAAACTACTGGGCTGATTTTAAAAATTGTTACACCATTAAAAAGCTACGTTATCAGTGAGTAACATAGGCTGTAATTTTTATATTTTTTTTAATTACACGCGGGCGAAGTCTCGAGCAACAGCCAGTTATTTATAACTACGTAAAACTTTCATTGCAAATATCAAAATTCCAAAGCTGAAATGACGATGGTTGAGACGATGTCATGGCAACCTTGCATTATTAATACTATTGGCTTGTAATACTGTCTCTTTCACGTAGGATTTTTCTACTTACCCTGTTAAAAACGCAGTCATTTGGATAAGGATTGTAAAAAGTGGTTATTGTAAGAAAACCGTTAAAGATATATGCCGTCAAGGATTTTATTGTAGAACTTTTTGAAATCTACAATTTTTGCATACATAATTTTTATATACCTCTTACGGTTTAGTCAGCGTAAGCCGTAAAAGTTAAAGTTTAGTGAATTTTTAACGCCGTGAATCAGAAATATGTTGTGTACTAATAGTTCCTTAACATTAGTAATAATAAAATATAGCCTATGTTACTCACAGATAAATTACCTTTCTGATAGTGAAAGAATTTTTAAAATCGGTCCAGTGGTTTACGCGTGAATTACATACAAAAATAACAAATCTTTTCTCTCTATAACATTAGTATAGACAATATTGTTAAGGCACTGCAAGTCGTAAAAATGCGTGATTCTCGACGTTGTATTATATCAATTTTAATAACCAAGTAAACACGTAAAAGAACATAAGTTCGAGAACACTTCAACGAAAAGTTTCTTTAAAGAGAAATCTTTAAGACACTTAGGGTGGGCCAGTAAATATCCGATAGGTATGACACTCGAGTATTTAAGTGGTGACGATATGTCATAGACTACTGCAACCGATAGTTCTGTTGTGGTCCAAGTCATAAACGACGACCAGAGAATTATATTTCAACAGCGTGCGTACATATGAAACTAAATAAATAAATAAATAAATCCTTTATTATTTCATTTTAAAAATATATACATTTCATGAGAGCCTTGGCTCCTGCACTAGGTTCACCTGTGCTGCAGGAGCCAATCCCTTTCCCCATTTGTGAAGAGCAATACATATTCATAAGTGTCTAAACATAAAATACAAAGAAACACATTAAATTTACTTATTATAAAAATGACGAATAAAAAAAAACAAAGGAAAAGAAAATGACATACAGTTTTTTTTGTGCGTTGTTGAGTGTTTTGTGTCTGTGTGTGTGTGTGTGTGTTTTTGTGTATTTGTGTGTGGGAGAATAAATTATCGTATAACTCTTTAGTCTCGCTTTGATTCCTATGTCCTTATATGGAGGTTACATTACACGATTTTTAGTGCAACTAAACATTTGAATTGGCTACGATATCGACAATCGCACAACAATGTCCCCGCTCCAATACTGCATTATAGTTAAAATATAATATCACTCCTGTCGAAACCTACATCTTACTTTACTTAACTTCTTACTAATATTATAAATGCGAATGTTTAGATACATGAATGGATGGATGTTTGTTAGTAAACCCTAAACTGCTGAACGGATCTTGATAAAATTTAACATAGATGTAGAGGATAGTCTGGAAGAATACTTAGGCTACTTCTGTCCTGAAAATAGTTATGGTTGGTTTACTCAATAATTTAACAACGGTTCAACGTATCTTATTTAAATTTAGTACAGATATAGAACAAAGTCTGGAATATCATATTGCCGAGAATATAGTCCAAAAACATTTGTTTTTATAACATAAGGTGGTGAACGAGCAAGCGGCCACCTGAACTCGCCAAAATGGCAAAGCGACCGCTGCCCATAGTCATTCGCAATAGTGGACGCGTTGCCTACTCCTAATCGACGGAGGAGGAGACGCACATAAAGAGGATATTTTCCTTTCCTGTGCGTCTCCTCCACCGTCAAATCCACGTTCCCTTTCCATCCAACTCTTATAAGAAAAAGGGTGGAAAGGAAAAGGGTCTAAAGTTGGGCCTTCGGCGCCACACTCATCAGATGAAACGCGGAATTTCTCCCACTTCACGCCTGTCTACTATGTGATCGTGATATTGGTGGGGGCGAGCATGCCCATTAGTGCGAAGATGTTAAAGCGGGTTCTACCACTATTAATATCAGATTACCGAGGGATGGGAAGGATTAAAATCGCTTTCCGCTGATGCCTTACACTGCGCAGTAATATGTACTCGATGCCAGAACTGCCAAATCGTCCAAAAAATCTTAGAATGACACATTAGGGATGGCACTACATATTAAAAAGTGTACTTATTGATGGAAAACTTAATAAAAATTTAAAAAGACATTCAAAAGGTGTTTAATAAAATAACAAATACGATTGTTGCTGTTACTAGCTAATGCTCGCGACTTCGTCCGCGTGAAACTAAAATATAAAAAAATGCCTATGTTACTCACTGGTTATGTAGCTTTTTAATAGTGAAAGAATTTTCGAAATCGGCCCAGTAGTTTTTGAGTTATCTCAAAATATATACAAAAGTACAAGTCTTTTTTTGATAATATTAGTATAGGTTAGAACAAATGAAATTCGAAAACACATTTGACGAGATCAAGGCCAGTGTATGACTTTACCAACACCCTATGGTACATTTCAATTTAAGATTTTTAAAGGTAATAAGAGACAGCCCTTGATGCATCTTGAAGTAATCAATTGTGCATTGGCGTGCGCGCGACACCGCACAAGGGAGGGAAGGAGAGGGAAGTGGCTCAGAAGTATTACAAGAATATTTAGCCGATAGTCGGATAAATTAAATAAAACAATATTCACGATTGACAAAGAACGAGATTTAATCGTTTGGAATTCAAGAAGTCATACACATACATACAAAACTACATACATTAAAACTTCAAGAGAAAAACATAATCCTAAGTCAGTCGGGAAGATCTTTTATTTTTGCTTAAATTAATGCCTAGTAACGCCATCTATTGGCAACCCCAAGTATTGGACCTTTTAATATTTTTTTTACCTATGTAGCACTAATTAAAAAAAAGAGTTTTAATTTACACATAGTAAAAAAATCACTCACTGATGAACGTCATCTTTTTATTGTAGAAAATAAATGCGACATTGTTTTCTTCCCGTCGCTAGATGACACTATATTTTGTTCCTATATTAATAAAAATCTTTTTTCGAATTCAACGTGTCTTATTTATCTTAACCTATTTATTAACCTAATACATTTTAATCGTATTAATTTTATAATTTTTCCATTTTATTTTAAATAACTTGAGCAAAAATAAATGTTAAAGTTTTGTTTTACATACGATAGATGGCGTTATACAATATTTCAATGTACAAATACAATGAACTTGTACTTATTAGTCAAAATTGGCCGATTCATGAATTATAAATAAATCTTACTTATTCACACATTTAAAATTTTACTGAATTTATTACTTACAAGACTAATAAGTTATTTAAAAGCGCGATTTTTTAAATCAAATTACAAAACGTATGCTACCCCTTATCGTGTTTGTTACTAAAGCGGAAAAATAGTAAATAACCCAAAACGATATTTTTATATATTTTCGTGATATCCTTTTTGTTTTCTAACTTGAAGACTATCAGTCAAAGGGTGTAAGCCAAATCTATCTTCACTTCTACACTATTATAAAAAAGCGTAACACACACTTCTTTGTTGCCTAAGATGTCAGCAATTACAGCATATTTTTGAATAATTCTTTTTTATAAAAAGCTCTACACTTACGTCATGCTTTAGTCTATATATTTTCACGCCATTAAACTTAGGGGTAAACATTTTAGATAAAGATTTAGATAAGTTGCCAACATCAAGGAAGCAAGATTACCAATGTTTGTCATATCATGTCATTTGCAATTGAGAATTTGACAGATGTAAATCAAAAGAAAGTTTTTATAATTTCATGCCGATGAAGCCGTACGGGAACAGCTAGTATTAAAATAAAATCGATTGTAGCCCAACGCGATTTACCTATAGTATCAAATTATCAAATTGTAACTTCATGTAGAGGGTCAAAACGTCTATTGACAAATTTAATATCAGTCTATGTATAAAAAATATTCACTAGGGTTATGTGAGCCAGTGCGTTTTAATTAAATTCTGATACATAGAGATGGCAGTGAATCCTGTGAGCGAGTGCGTGTTACACAAACTGTTATCATTCGAAGGTGGACTTGTTGACGCGATGCCACGAATATAGAATCTTACAGTATTAAACACGGTCTCAGGGAATGCAAGACCACCACCACTATCGCCACGACAAAGCATTATACCTGAAAAAAAAACAATCTTACTAATATTATAAATGCGAAAGTTTAGATGGATGGATAATTGTTAGAGTTTGTAGCCTAAACTGCTGGACGGATAACGATAAAAGGCATAGATGTAGAGGATGGATGAGGAGAGATGTCAGTCTTTACACGATATTTAAAAAATACAGACGAGGTAATGAACTTTATTAACCGGTATTTTCTCTGAAAGGTATATCAGTTGTCAAGTTTAGATCCATCTCGTGTGTTGACATGTAATAAAACGTTTTACAAAATTATAAGACGACATCTATTGGCAATTAATTTAAATACAGTTAATTATTATGGTTTTGGGGATCTATCAATAGATGGAGTTAGTGAGTTGTGAAAAATGTTTCAAGTGAAGTCAACTATGCTTCCTTTATGCTTTTTAATCTTTTTGATACACGACTATGCTTTATTCTATTAGAATAGAAAAAAGAGCGTGGTATGTACATATGCAGCGAGATGATTATAATAAAAAGTAAAAATACAAACTACAAATGTAGAGATGGATGGATTGCGTGAAAGGTGACATGATCAAGAAGGTAGTAATGATTGGGATGATGGATGATAGAGTTATTTGGATTACGAAAACCCGCTGCGCCGATACTATGGAGGTAGGATAAGGTAGGGGATCTCCCCTATTCCTTCCTATTACTTCTGTCTTCCTCTACCTTTCATCTGAAAGGTAGAGAAAGACAGAAGTAATAGGATTTTATGAAAAATATGCTAAAGGGAGTTAATTCAGATATGACTGATAGAGATGTATGGAGAAGTACAGACTTCTTTTTCATCGTATAACTTACCCTTGATATCTCCAGCACATATTTTATCATACGTGATGAATTGTTTGTACGCATGCGATGTTTGACGCACGCAGTCTACATAAGACACGTAAGGCATGTCGACTACCTTCAGTTCTCGGGACTCGGAACCCTTGAGGCCGGTGGTGAGGCCCCAACCCGCCGCCTATTATAAAAAAAATATTGTACACGATTTCTTCTACTAATATTAAAAAATCAATAAAAAAGGTGAAGAAACTACAAGAGAATACGTATTTGGTGGGTAAGAGGAAATAATTATACTACTTGTAGTTATTTCATTCCTCTGTCTGGAAAATGTAGATACATCTACGATCTACAGGTGTATGTAACGCTGCGGAAATCCGCGGTGTTCCACTTCAGCAAAAAATGCCGTGTATCACTTACCGACTTTTTTTCATACAGACATTTATAAGCTGCGTTGTATTGGTTTGCGTTACGCGTCTCGTTTCAAAATGTTCAATCGATTGTAGCTTTTAAAGTGGAACACCGCCAGAATCCCCGACTGTACAGCAGTAAATTCATAGTCATACTATAACATTTTTGTATATATTGAAATAACTCAAAAACTACTGGGCCGATTTCAAAAATCGTTTCACCATTAAAAAGCTACGTTATCGTTGTGTAACATAGATTACATATTTTTAATTTCACGTGAACGAAATCGCGAGCAACAGCTAGTCATACTATAAAAGTCTAAGAATTGTGTAACCGATAAGTTCGATAGAGTACCTTTCCTTCAGCGCCAGGCTGCAGCTGGCTCTCGGCGAAGTCATGCCTAAAGTCTAGGCAGACAGGTCGCACGTACGTCTGGTACTGGAAGGGTCCTGACACCATTACGATAGCGATGTCGTCCCTGTAGTACAGATCGCGGCCCTGATAGTACTTCGATATAACTATCTTCTCAATCTGTTAAGAAAATGTTAATCAGTATAGGGAATCTGATCAATCCATAGGGAAGGCGCTCACGTCCATTACGTGCGTCAACCTGGGCGATAACGTTTTTCAAGTTCATCCACTTGCCCTTATCCCTTACGGCGGGTCGGTACAATATGTGCTGCTCTTCCATACATCTCTATCAGCCGTCATATCTGAATCCACTCCCTTCTTAAGCATATCCTCTTTCACACAATCCATCCATACTTTCTTCGGTCTTCCTCTACCTTTGTAGCCATCCACATTCAATCTTAACACTTTCTGGTTTATGTCCCCGTCGTTTCGTCGTATAACATGTCCATAACACGCTAACCTTTTGCTTCTCAATTTCTCCACCACTGGCGTTACTTTTAAACTTCCTTTAATGTACTCATTTTTTAAAGTTTTGCAAGTTAATTTTGAATTAAGTGTACTCACGTCAGATTTCTGTGCGTACGGCTCGTCGGCGACGTTGTCCCAATCTCGGTGCAATTTGCCGACCGCCACTGCGTAGCTTTTAATGCTGAATAACTTCTTTTCTCTTTCGTTCCAAAAGCAATGAGCAGCTGTGAAAAATATATTAAATTACATTATGTATTAAATAAGACTATAACGCCATCTCTGTGTCCTTTTTGTTATCAGAGTTATCAAAATCAACGCCATCTATTATCAGAACCCTTTCATATAAAGCAGACACAATTGACAGCTTTTGCTTCCTTCCGATTTAAACATATCTGTTGATTTATTTTTATTTATACAAGGGGATTCTTATTTCTGAAGAATATATCGGCCAATTTGAACACCCTTGTTTATGTTACTGACCCGTCAGTTAATTCTATAGTACAGTAAAATCCTTTTAAGGCGATTTTCTAGCCAGTACATTTATACACACAGAGATTGTATTACGTCACTGGGACCAGTTAACGTTCACTATGCCAGGTTGCCAGTCCAGTTATTGAGCGCGGCTGAGCTGTGGCCAAGTGTGCGCCACGTATTATAGGCTAGCTTACCTGACAGTACGACGGAGTTGCTGATCAGAGACCCGCCGCAGATCTGATCGTGTGTTCCATTCTCGACGTTCTTGAAATAGATGCCAGCATGCCATGGAACATCGCCGAACTTCGCTGTCTCGCCGCCCAGCACCAGTGGTGCACCCTTAGGAGTTAAAGTACCGCACTCTGCAAAATGTATTTTAACGGTGGTAGAGACACCATGTATTAAAACATTTTATTAAATTATATTAAGGTCCACCTTATGGTCTAAAATAAATTTGAAGCGATTGACATAAATAAAATTAATTATGAGGATTAATTAATAGATGGCGTCAGTGAGATAATTGAATTAATTGAAACTGCCTCCTCTATTTATTTTCTTAATCTCTGATTTTAGCAAAGAATGCATGCGGTTGCAACCTTTTAAGTTGTTACTGGCTTATTTAGTACTCTATGATAAAAAATATATACCAGGAACACATGTAGGGGAGGAACTCCATTGGCCTCTTCTACAGACCATATAAGGCAACTCGAGCGGGGTGTAATAATTAGGCTCCTTGCACGTCGGCTGGATCACGGTACCTTCCACTTCGTATTCTTTACAAGGTCTTGTCGTTTCCGTACCCTCTATGATACAGTTATAGTTTATACTTTCGTGTTTATCCAAATAACAGGTTTCTGCAAGAAAATATCATCAATATACTAGCTTTCGTCTGCGACTCCGTGCGTGTAGAATAAAAAAACAAAAGTGAGTAGCCTATGTGTTCCTCCAAACTATCCTCTACATCTATGCCAAATTTAATCGAGATCCGTTTAGCAGTTTAGGCTATAAATTCTAATAGACAACCAGCTAAACTTTCACATTTATAATTTTAAATAAAAAGTAAGATTGATTGAATATTAGCTGTTGCACAAGACAGGCGTGTTGTGGAAACAATTCCGCATGTTATCTGATGAGTGTGTGCGCCGGAGGCCTAATTTTAGTCCCTTTCCCTTCTAACCCTTTTTAGAAGGAAAGGATGGGAAGAGAAAGTGGACTTGACGGAAGAGACGCATAAGAAGGAGAAATATCCTTTTATCCATCCATCCATCTACAACTGCGGATGTCTAAGCAGCGGTCGCTTCACCATTTTGGCGGATTCATGGCCGGTTGCTCGTTCGACATGTTATTTTATAAAAAAAAACTTACGCAAACACTGTGGGAGCCTCTGTCCAGACCACAGTCCTTCTGAGCAGAAGACCTTAGGGTCTTCCAGCATCGCGAACCTCTTGTAGCAGGAGTATTGGAGTACAACGAAGGTAGCCTCCTCGTCCTCCACCTTAGGCCACAAGACGTGGTACACACCGTTGTCAGGTTGAGCAGGTAAAATGCATCTGAAATAAAAGGAAAGTCTTGTTAGTAAATAAGAGAAATGTTTACTATATATTTATTTTCGAAGTAATATACAGATTCTTCAATCATACTAATATTATGAACGCGAAAGTTTAGATGGATGGATTTTTGTTAGAGTTGGTAGCCTAAACGGTTGAACGGATTTCGATGAAATTTGGTATAGATGTAGAGGATAGTCTGGAAGAACACATAGGCTACTTACTATTGTTATGAACAGAGTCGCTAGTTTTATTATAAGATGAGCTGTTGCCATCAAACTTCGTTAGAGCGGAATTTAAAAAAATAGTAGTTACCTATAATACTACAAACACTCCAATTTGATTATATGTATAGTATAGATATAAAGATAGACTAGCTTTCGCCCTCGACTCCGTCCACGTGGAAATAAAAAAAAAACTCAAGTAAGTCGCCTATGCGTTCTTCCAAATTACCATCTACATCTATGCCAAATTTCATCGAGATTCGTTCAGCAGTTTAGGCTACAAACTCTAACAAACATCTATGCATCCATCTAAACTTTCGCATTTATAATCTTAGTAAGTATTAGTAAGAAGTAAGATGGATTAGATGCAGATAGTATACACATATATGAATTACTTCTCAGTGATTGCTACTTCATTCATATCAGGCGCAACAGTTGTTGTTGGTCTTCTTGTTGTTGTTGTCGTTGTTGTTGTCGGCCTCATTGTTGTTGTTGGATGTTGTCCCCGATTGCCATCCGAACAAGCGTCATCAGATTCATCTGAGCCGTCCTTGCAGTCTCTTATCTAAAACAAATTGAATCACCATTCATGTTCATAAACAAATGTGCGGCAAACTTATCTGACCCGGGTGAGGTAAGTATCTTGTGAAACTTGATACTTTGTCACTGACCAGCTGCGCCATCAGGGCGAATATATAGCCTTTTTCGTAGTACTTTTTATCTTTCTAATCTATCGCTCGGGATTCCATCCGAGTGGAATTGAAAACAAAAGTAAGTAGCCAATGTGTTCTTCCAGACTATTCTCTACATGTATGCCAAATTTCCTCGAGATGCGTTAATCAATTTAGGCTACAAATAATATATATTAAATAAGTTAATCTTACTAATATAATAATACTTCGCCCGCGTGAAATTTAATAATATAGCCTATGTTACTCACAGATTAATTACCTTTCTAATGGTGAAAGAATTTTTAAAATCGGTCCAGTAGTTATTGAGTTATTTCAATACATACAAAAATACAAATCTTTCCTCTTTATAATATTCTTATAGATTAGTAAGATTTCAGTTTTTCGAATCTTTATAGGATAAATGGGAATAACTATATAAGAGCTGAGGTATTGTATTTTATACAATATGCTTGGGACAGATAAAAGAGTACATTAACTTACTCCATCGCACTTGGATGCGTCATCAATGCACTCGCCTGACGTACAGCGGTACTGATTGACGTTACAACGTACTGAACTGCCTCCTCCATTTGGTTTAACATCGTACTGAGGCAAATCGATCCTGTTTTATCACAAAGATTACTTCAATTAAATATGCTGTGACCAGAATTCTAAAACTGTTGTTCGCGATACGTCGGCGTGAAATTAAAAAAATGATAACAAAACATTGCCTATGTTACTCACTGATAACGTAGCTTTATAATGGTGAAAGAATTTTTGAAATCCACCCAGTAGTTTTTGAATTATGTCAACATACAAATTACAAATCTTTCCTCTTTATAATATTAATATAGACTAGTAGAAGTATAGATATAGATTAAAAATATACTAATTATAGGTAGTTTAAAAACATAGCCAGTGATGAAACATGAGATAAGCGTTGAATATGACCCGATAGAAACACCAACGAAATATTTATTGCGTAAAAGAGGGAATAAGAAATCAATTCAGATACAAGGAGTATACAAATTTGACTGTTAATTTAAAACATTATTAACATAATCTAATTAACGCTATCTATCGATAGATCCTCAAAACTACATGTCAATTTTGTTTAAATTAATAGCCAATAGATGTCATTAAATAATTGTTATGTAACACTTTTACGAAAAACAGAGCTTATTATAATTTTGTAAAATGTTTAATTACATGTCAATTTAAGGTGTCACTAGGTAAATAGTAAACGGTAAGTTATTTTTATATTAGTAGTTATCGAAATCGATTCAAACACAGATTTACAGACGGTATAACATTTAAAACACGTGCCAGTTTACTGGCACATTTTTCATACAATTGTCACTAACGCCATCTGTTGATAGATCCTCAATACTACATGTCAATAACGTTAATTCTATTTAAATTAATTGTCCATAAAAATGTTTAAATTTCATTTTGCCTGCTTAGTATATTTAGTTTTTTTTTTTTATAACATAAGGTGGCAAACGAGCAATCGGCCACCTGAAACCGCCATAATGGCGAAGCGACCGCTGCCATAAACATCCGCAATTGCAGATGCGTTGCCTACCCTTATACGACGGAGGAGATGCACATAAAGAGGATATTTCCCCTTCCTATGCATCTCCCCCACCGTCAAATCCACTTCCTCTTCCCAACTTCTCATTATAAGAAAAGAGTGGTAAAGAGAAAGGGAATTAAATTAGGCCTCCGGCACCACACTCATCAGACGAAACACGGAATTGAAAAATATAGAGCTATAATTTTGTAAAATGTGTTATTACAAGGACATGAGATGGCACTAACTTTGACAACTGATATAGTACCTATCAGAGAGAGTACCAGGGAAAAATGTTTGTACACAATGCCTCGTCTATTTACTATTCAAATACGTTCTGTATGGATGAGGGCTATAGCTTTAAAGATTCAATATCACAGTTCACTATACGTCCCCACCGAGGAACTCGGAGCCTACCCTAAAGTTAGGGTGACTAGGCCATAGTCAACCACGCAATCAATCAATCAAGTCAGATGCAATATACTTACTCCAAATTCTCTTTAATGAAGTGTTCATGTTTAAACAATTCCGTAAAAGTAATAATTGCTATATTATGACAATGTCTATTCCCAGCAGCTTGATCAGGCACCGGCGAGGTCGATATGATCCCACGCAGGAAGTAACGAGTTCCTTGTTTCTCTAACTCTGGGAAGACCAATCCTCCGCCTCCATCACCTTTGCATATATCTGTACCTAGAAGAGAATGGAATGTTTCAACAATGACAATTCTATAGATGTGTCTGCAAATGAAAAGGTCATAATGAGAATAAAAGCCAGTCCTACCACTGACTGACAGAGACTCAGATTAAAAGTGACGACACTGTCATAAGAAAACAAAATCCGATTGTTATCGGACAATTTACAAGAATTGTGAGACAGGCCTTTATCCTCATTATCACCTTTCCCTAATATAACTACTACAATTTATGATTTAAATCTATACTATTATAATAAAGCGTAAACACACACTTTTTTGTTGCAAGATGTCAGCAATTACAGCATATTTTTTAATAATTCTTTTGTTATTAAAGCCCTACACTTGCGTCACGCTTTAGGCTATATATTTTCACGCGAATAAACTTAAGCGGTATAATTTTGGATAAAAACCCTAATGTGGGAAAGAGACCATAAGTTGCTGCCAACACCAAGAAGCAAGATTGAAGGTTTGTCACGTCATGTCATGTGACATTTGCTATTGATATTTTGACAAATGTAAACATTAAATAAAATTTTCATAATTTCATGCGGATGAAGCCGCACGAGAACAGCTAGTACCGGATACATACCATTACTATACCCAGCGCAGATCTTATCTGAGGTTATATACTCTCGGAACTGCATAGGCGCGTTGTTTATACATTCGGTAATGTCCATATAAGGTATATCTATTGATTTCAGTGTCGGTGGAGGTTTTGCAGCTCCTGTGTCTACCAAACCAAAGCCTGTCACCTTAAAAAATACAAACGAAGAACCTCCTTTTAACCTAATCTCCTTTTAACCTCCTTTTAACCTAATCTCCTTTTAACCTCCTTTTAACGTCATAACCAATTACTTTTATATTTTCGCTCCAGACATTTCATTTGAAACATTTTATACTAACGCTATGTATTGTTAAATTCTTAAAACCACATGTTAATATAGTTAATTGTACTTAAAGTAATTTTGGAAAAAAATCTTTTATTACATACTAGCTTTCGCCCGCGACTAGTCCGAGTGGAATTAAAAAATAAACAAAAGCATTATAAGAGTTCTTCCAGACTATACTATACATTTATGCAAAATATCATCGAGATCAAATTAACAATCTAACAAACAACCATCCATCTAAACTTTCGCATTTATAATATTAGTAGGACCAATTCAAGGACACGAGACGGCACTAAACTTGACTACTGATATAGTACCGGTGAAAACATTTTGTATACTGTGCCTTGTCTATGTAAATGTCTATTTAAGAAATGTATAGACATACTCAGCTATTATACTCGTATGGACATTGTCTTTGGCTCTAACACATGAGGAATTGATACAAAATGTCTTCTAACCTTTCCTAATGCTCCCGGTTCCAATTGTCTCCTATTGAAATCACTATCGAAGTCGAGGCACACAGGACGAACATTCAGAGTGTATACTATAGGTTCAGCGAGAAGCACCACTGCTACGTCGTCCTGGTAGTTTGTTGCAGCACCTAAGAACCTTTTAGGTAACGTTATGCTTTTGACCTGCAAAATAATCATTTTTATAGGAAAGTAAACGAGTGGTTTGGATAAATAGGTCGCTACGTATAGTTGCGTAATCGATATAAAGAGGATTTTTTCCTTTTCCATGTGTCCCCTGCATGTAACAAGGAGAACGTTATGAGTGTGGACATAGGTAGCGGTAGACGTAGACAGAGTTGTATTTCGTGAAAGACATGATCAAGAAGGCAGTGACTGAGATGTCGTATGATAGAGTTATTTGGAGGACAAAAACCTGTTGCGCCGACCTTACGGGTTTAGAACAAAGAAGAAGATGATGTTCCTTTCACTGTCAAATCCACTTCCACATCTCTTTCTGTCCATTTGTAAGGTTTGGAAGGAACACTTGTCTCCTCTCATCTTCGTCAACTTGCATTATCCCTTACGGAAGGTCGGCAAAGTCGTCACTTGTCTCCTGTGTGTTTGAGATATCGCATAGGACGCGCCAGTACATTCGTGCAACAAACATTATTACGGGCTCTACCAATGTTGACGACTGTCAGGCAACACTTTTAGGAACGAAGTGATTCAAAATATATCTTTTTTTAAGCCAAAGTACTTATTGCCTCGGTCTTGAATAATTTTAAATACATTCACGAACAAAAAGAGTATTGAATACTTACATTCATCTTTTGTGCTTCTACGTCCCTCTTATTGTTCCAAGGTCTGTAGATTTTGCCGACCGCCACCGCGAATAACGAACTAGGCAGTTGTTTCTCAGTTTCACTCCAGAAGCAATGGGCGGCTGTGAAATTCAGATCAGAGATCAGTAAGTTTGTTTATATAAGACTAGGTGTTCCCATGCGACTTCATTCGCACAAAATTATAAAAATTTCATTTTATTGTTCACGTTGGTCAAACTATCAATTGCAAATGTCAAAATGACATGACATGATGGCAAACCATGGCAACCTTGCTTCCTTGATGTTGGCAACAACTTATGGTCTCTTTCCCACATTAGAGTTTTTACTCAAAATATTCACCACTAAGTTTAACGGCGTGAAAATATATAGCTTAAAGCGTGACGCAAGTGTAAGGCTTATTATTAAAAAAAAGAATTATTCGAAAATATGCTGTGATTGCTGACATCTAGGCACAATAAGTGTGCGTTTACGCTTTATTATAATAGTATAGACTGTCTATAACGTATAGATAAGTGTGTTTTTTTATATCAATGAAGCAAGGTTGCCATGGTAAAGATATTGTTATCCAATGTCGAAGATCTCATTGTCATTTGTCCATTTGAATTTTAACATTTGCAATGGAGAATTTCAAATGTAAACAATAAATAAAAGACATTCAAAAAATGTATAAAGGGAGCATAGTTAACACTTCGCTCGAGACATTTTTCACATGACCACTAACGCTATCTATTGATAAATCCTCAAAACCACATGTCAATTGTATTTAAATTCCAAGAGTGTCATTAGATAATTTTTATAGTACTGTTTAGTTTATTTTATAACAAAAGATGAAGCTACATCTATATACTATTATAATAAAGCGTAAACACACACTTCTTTGTTACCTAAGATGTCAGCAATTACAGCATATTTTCGAATAATTCTTTTTTTAATAAAAAGCCTTACACTTGCGTCACGCTTTAAGCTATATATTTTCACGCCATTGAACTTAGGGTTAAATATTTTGGATAAAAACCCTAATGTGGGAAAGAGACCATAAGTTGCTGCCAACATCAAGGAAGCAAGATTACCAAGTTTTGTCATGTCATGTCAATTTGATACGTGTAAACAATAAAAAAAAATATGCAGATGAAGTCACACGGGAACAGCTACTCTATACTAATATTACAAAGAGGAAAGATTTGTATTCATATATGTATTTGATTCACGGAAAAACTATTGGGGCGATTTAAAAAATTCTTTCACCATTATAAAGGTAATTTATCTGTGAGTAACATAGGCTATATTTTGTTTCATTTTTTAATTTCACGCGGGCGAAGTCGCTAACATCTAGGGTAAAAAAATTTAATTACATGTACACACGAGGTGACACTAAACTTGACAACTGATATAGTACCTGTCAGAGAAAGTACCGGTAAAAAATGTCTATATATTTCTTAAATGACTTTGCAACAGAATAAAGTTATTATAAATGGTTGCCCGCAACCTTGTTCGCGTGGTATTACGAAAACATACCAATTATATAAATAACAAAAAGCTACGTATCCCTCGAGAACCGGACATTTCTCGGGGATGAACCTTATCCTATATGATCGAGTAAACATTAAAAAACTAAATTAATTAATACCACGGGAACCGTCACTATTCCCGGGATAAAAAGTAGCCTATGTGTTCTTCCATACTATGCTCTAAACCTGTGCTAAATTTCATGGAGAACCGTTCAGCCGCAGGCTACAAACGCTAGCAAACATCCATCCATCGTAACTTTCGCATTTATAATATTTATATGACATGATTTCATGCGGAGGAAGCCGCACGGGAACGGACCGTACCTGATATCACTGTAGTGCGGCTTACGATAGTCCCCCCGCATAAAGCTAAATACGGTTTCGTTTTCTTCGTATATATCGTGGCATGCCAAGGTAATGCTCCTCTAGTGACATTGTATGGGACTGCTGATTTTCTTTCTTTATTTGATGCGATTATCCCGCACTCTGTAAAACAAAATAAACTTTAGAAGTGAAACTAAAATACAATTTGAATAAACCATGTGCGAATGGCGGAACATATATATATCCTCTTTACGTTTTCTGTCCAATAAGGTATGCAACCCAACTTAACTTGTCGCAAATATCTAAAGTGATACATTTGCTATTTTAATAAATCAGGCGCTTTTTTCTAAAACATTAAGATAATACTGTTCGTCAACAAACTAGATATACAAACTGAATCACTATATTAGCCAGGAGTAGAGTAGGTATTTAATGTTCTTCAAAATCAGTTCAGTCGTTTAGAGTAAACCTTCTTATATGTTGGTCATGGGTCTCTGAAGTTTCCATTTATTACCTAGCGACTCACTAGTTACCCTATGTTTAAACGCAGTAAATCTCAAGTTATCTATTTTATGTTATCAAAAACATCGTATGGTTAAAAGCTGAAATACATTAATATGTAAAAGTGTTGAATTTCACTTACGTTGTGAGCATTTTGGCAGATAATTCCAAGTGCCTTCAACACATTGCATGAAAGATAGCGGCGCGGGGCTGTAGTAAAAAGGTGCCTTACACTCCGGCCGCACTACTGCACCATTCGGCTGCCGTTCCTCGCACAGAGAGGATATCTCCGAGCCGTCTTTAGCAGCGCACCGGAATTCCATATTCGATTGTTTTAATAAGGGCTTCAATGTACATTCTCCTGTTAAAATAGAAATAACAGCTGTCACCTACGACTCCGTACGCGTGGAATTAAAAAAAATAATCAAAAACAGCCTATGTTACTAATAACGTAGCTTTTTAATAGTGAACGAATTTTTTAAATCGTCAGAGTAGTTTTTGAGTTATTTGAATCCAAACTATCCTCTATATCTATACTATTACAATAAAGCGTAAACACACACTTCTTTGTTGCCTAAGATGTCAGCAATTACACCATATTTTTGAATAATTCTTTTATAATAAAAAGTCCTACACTAACATCATGCTTTAGGCTATATTTTCACGCCATTAAAATTAGGTGAATATTTTGGATAAAAACCCTAATGTGGGAAAGAGACCATAAGTTGCTGCCAACATCAAGGAAGCAAGATTGCCATTGGTAATTGGTATTTTGACATTTGCAATTGAGAATTTGACAAATGCAAACAAATTTATAATTTAATGCGGATGAAGCCGCACGCGTACAGCTAGTCTATACTTAATTTCATCGAGATCGTATTTATAACAGTAAGATATACAAGTTGTATTATATTTTCTCTACTGTAACAACAGATGCAATTTGGATTAATCAATCTAGATAATAGACAAATTTTTGAGGTTAGTTTTTTTAATACTGACGTAAGCATTGAGGTATTTCCGAAGACCATTTGCCTGTGTTACATGTCACTACCTCTGGACCCTGCAGCATGTACCCTGGGTGACATTCCACTTTCATCGTTACCGACATCAACACCATTCCAGGCCGAATATTTTCTTCGCCTTGTACTGTGTATGTCCCGTGATCGGGAAACTTCGGCAATTTGCAGACAAACGTATTCTGCGTCCTGTTGACAAGCATACATTTTAGAATTACAGGTAAATCATGATTGAAATTTACCTCAAGTATGGTTTATACTGTTATTATTAACAGTGGTAGAGCCCGCTTTAACATCTTCGTATGAATGGGTTGGCTCGCCCGTTGTAATACCACGACCACATAGAAAACAGGCGTGAAGTGGAAGCAATTTCCCGTTTCGTCTGATGAGTGTGGTACGGGAGACATAATTTTAGTCCCTTTCCCTTTCCGTCCTTTTCTTAAGAGGAAAGGATGGGAAGGAAAAGTGGATTTGACGGTGGAGGAGACGCAAAGGACGGGGAAATGTCCTCTTTATGTGCGTCTCCTCCTCTGTCAATTATGGGTAGGCAACGCATCTGAGATCGCGGATGTTTATGGGCAGCGGTCGCTTTCCATTTAGATGGATTCAGGTGGCCGCTTGCTCGTTTGCTACCTTATATTATAAAAAAAGATCTTAACTACCTGTTATTCACGACTTCGCCCACATGAAATTAAAACAAAATGTAGCCTAAGTTACTCATTGAAACGTAACTTTTTAATGGTGAAAGAATTTTTGAAATCGGTCCAGTAGTTTTTAAGTTATTTCGATAAATACAAAAGTCCATAATTACAAATCTTTCCTCTTTATAATATACTAGTATCGCCGGCGATTCGGTGCGCGTGGATTTAAAAAAAAAAACAAAAGTGAATAGCCTCTGTGTTCTTCCAGACTATGTTCTACATCTATGCCAAATTTCATCGAGATCCGTTCAGCAGTTTAGGCTACAAACTCTAACAAACATCCATTCATCTAAACATTCGCATTTATAATATTAGTATGATATAAAGTATAGATATAGATATATAATATACGAGCTGTTGCCCGCAACTTCGTCTGCGTGGTATTAGAAAACATACGAACTATATAAATTACAAAACCTACGTATCCCTCGGGAACCGGACATATCTCGGGGATGAAGCTTATCCCATGTGTACTCCAGACTTTGTTTTATATCTGTACCAAATTTCAATAAGATATGTTGAACCGTTGCAGAATGATCGAGTAAACATAAAAAAAATAAATGAATGAATCCCACGGGAACCGTAACTATTCCCGGGATAAAAAGTAGCCTATGTGTTCTTCCCGACTATGCTCTAAACCTGTGCCAAATTTCATGGATATCCGTTCAGCCGTTTAGGATACAAACGCTAACAAACATCCATCCATCCATCTAAACTTTCGCATTTATAATATTAGTAAGAAGTAAGATAGCTGTTAGTAAAGAATTGAACACGAGCCAGTCGCTTTATAACCAGTGTGCCAGTTACTGACATGTGTATTTCCTAACGTACTATAACCTCAAAGTGTCTTACGTGTTAGTCTGTGATGTTTTACATGTCGACTCGTCACTGCCATCAGGGCAGTCTATTACACCATTGCACCTCAATGCTGTTTTAATAAACGTATTGTCAGCACACATCCACTGGGAATCTCTGAAAAAATCCAATTAAATCAACAATTCAGTTTAACACGAACGGATAAGATACGAAATAAGTATATTAGAGGAAAATTGAGTAGCCCCAGTGGTAGACAAATCAAGGAGTAAAAGGTTAGCGTGGTATGAGCTGTTAATGATGAATCGCATGTAACAGGAACGTTAGTTAATAATGTGGAAGGGTATAGAAGTAGCAGTGGGGCGTCGCGGTGGCAAGCGAAAGCGATCCCGTGGCGCCCCACACATTGGCCAGGAGGGAACGAAGGGGTTTAGTGAGGTATGCCCCCCACTATGGGGGGAGAGTCCCACATAACTCACGTGTTCTGCCCCGAGGCATGGAGTATGCGTAACGCATTCCCCTTCGAAAAAATAAAAGGGTATAGAGGTAGACCTGGAAAGAGATGAATGGATTGCGTGAAAGGTGGCATGATCAAGGGAGTGACTGAGATGACTGATGATACGAGTTATTTGGAGGAGGAAAATCTGGTGTACCGACATTACGGCAGTAGGTTAAAACCGACTTCCAAACAAAATACACTAAAACAAAACAAAATGCACTAAAAACAAAACAAAACATTCTCAAAAAAACAGTACACTAAAAAGTAACGAAATAATTACTTGAAAATAGTA